CGGAGAGCCCTCGCGGGCCGCTGTGGACGCGGGTGCGGCCACCCTGGGAGCCGCGAGGGGGCGAGGCCGAGCCCGGGTGCCCGTGGCACCGTTCACCATGGTCACGGCTGAAGTGGGCCGCCGAGCCTGGCGCGTAGCGGAGCTGCCTCCTGTTCGCTTCCGCCGAGTTCGGGAGGGGCTGCGGCAGCGGGGAATCCCGAGGGAGCCCGGCTGCGAGCGCGTCTGCGGCGCACGGGCGCCCCCGCTGGCCAGGCGCCGCCTGGTGTCGGGTGTGCGGGGGCTGCGCGGGTGGTGGTGACCGCCCGCCCCGATGCTGGCGATCAGGCTGCTGCGTAAGCAGTGCTGGCGCCTCGGTGGTCCCGGGCGCGCCCCGAACTTCCCCTCAGACCTTTGGCCGTGAGAAGAGAGATCGCACACTGATTGTGTTATGTTTTTCTTTTCTGTAGACGTCAAGTTTTCCCAATGGGGGAAATAGAGCCTGTGCGTGTTTCTCCCGCGCCCCAGGGCACAGGTGCGGGGGCTGCGGCCTGACGGCGGCGGGCCTGTCTGCCATGCGGCTGCAGTGCGGCGCGCACTAAGCGTGCCCAGGACGGCGGTGCTGAGCGAGGCACAGGTACTCAGAACCCGGCAGCCCGGCGAGGCGGGCAGCGAATGCAGCAGCCGCGCCTGGCCCTGCGCGCGAGCCGTTGCTGGGCGCAACTTTAACCCCGTAACCGCGGCTCGAGGGCGAGGGCCACGGCAGGAGCGCGTGCCCGTGCCCGTGCCCGGTGTGCGCCATCCTCCAGGTTTCGGCGGCAGCCACGAGTGGCGTAAGAGGAGCAGGAGGCCCTCCGAGGCCAAGGAACAAGACAGGAGGAGCGAATCTGTAATTGGGGAACTGTCTTGTAGAAACCTAACACGAGGCATATAATATTAAATACTGCAATAGCCACATTAAGAAAAGTTGAAATAAATTCATTGATAAAGTTCATTTTAACAGCACACTTTACTTAGTATATCCAAAACAGCAGCCCTTCAATGTGGAAACGCGATCCGCGAGCCGCCTTAGCGTCCTTCTTCCCTACCAGGTGAGGTTGGACACGGGTCAGGCTCAGTCTGGACGCTTCGCTTGCACTGGAAATACTTGATACTTACTTAAATTTCACAAAGCTTGTTGGGAAGGCTGAGTCATAAACCAAGCCCGGGTAAACGCGCTTTTACAGTTAGTGAACCAAGTGTCAGGTTTTCATCTTAAATTCACTGTACATTTTTGTCTAGTAATTTTAAAGTTGATTGTTTTCATAATTAATTGAAATTAAAGTCGTTCCTGCGCTGGCCTTCCCACTGCCCAGCTGCTACGTGTGGCTGGTGGCCTTCAGGACGGACGGCAGAGGTGTAGCCTCACTCGGGGAGACTCCTCTAGGCGCGGTGGATAGGAGGCCCCCCTCAGGAAGGGGTCTTCCCCGGGCTTGTCTGCTGTCACTCGCTGCGGACCCCAGCCCCGGGGCAGCGTCTAGGCACCCAGTGAGTCTGTAGCACAGGTCGCGGCGCCTGCCGTTCTTCACGCACTCCGGTGGCACTCACAACGCTCTCCTCCACAGCCTTCCCAGCCTCTGCGCCCCCCTGAATGTGAGCCTTGCAGAACGGAAACGATGTCGGCCAAGCGAGGGAAATCCAGGTCCAAGGTCAGTGACCGGAGCACCCCATCCTGTCGTGTCAGCTGCGTTCCTTCCAGAGAGGTCTGCCCATGGGGGCCTGGGCAAGCCCGGCCCACCACTGTGGAGGCTGGGCCCCAAGGAGGGCCCAGCAGCCCCAAACCCGGTTCCTCAGGGTACAGGGAGCCCCTCCCCATTCCTTCGGCATCACAGGGCTCTTCCTCTGGGGAGGAGCCATCCCCAAGGGAGGCCGGAGCCCTGTGGTCCCCTGGTGCGGAGGAGTGTCCAGGGGTCCTGCCAAGGCAGAGGGGTGCAGCGTGTACTTCTCCCACCCTGTCTTGTTGCTCTTCTGCTGTGAAGCCTGGATTAGTGTGGGAGAACTTTCCCTGGCCAAGCCGCCAGGTCAAGCCCCAGGTAATCTCTCTGTCTTCAGGTCTCCCAGTGTTAAGATCAGCTGGTTAGTGGCCTTGATCGCACCTGCAAGGGACCTTTTGTCTGGTGTGACGTGTTCATGCGCTCTTTACCAGGCCCATGCTTAGGCGCCCAGGTTGGAGCGGGCCGAGCTCCTCTGCTGAGCAGTGGTGGGACCTGCAGGAGGTTACGCAGTTCGGGGCCGTGCTCTGCTTGCCTGTGTCAGTGTGCGATCCTGTTGGCCGTGCCCTATCAGCGGGTGTGGACCGCTGCAGTCAGGTGCTTAGACAGTGCCTTGACTTTGTCAGCACGCCATTGATCCCAGTTGCTGTGTAATTTGTGCAACATAATCTTTGACGGCTAAAATGAGGCCTTGTTGCGTTGCATTTGGTTTATTTAGTGCATCTGCCTCTTTGGCTCCAGAATCCCAAACGCTTATTGGACTTTTCCTGATCCCACGTCTCCCGCGTTTGTGATGTGCCCACCAGTTCTCCAGCCCTGCGGGAGCACAAGTACGTGGTGAGCGGACGTGTGATCTTTCTCATTTCAGGCATCCGTGACATTTGCGGACCTGGCCATCTACTTCTCCCAGGAAGAGTGGAAATGGCTGAGCCCCACCCAGAAGCGTTTGTACAAAGAGGTCATGTTGGAGAACTACCAGAACCTGGTGTCGGTCGGTAAGGTTCTCCCTGCCCAGTCCAGAGCCAGTCTCCGGAGGGACTGCCTCGGTCATAGCGTAGTCAGGAAAGTGGAAGCCTCTCCCTTTGTAGGTATTAAAGATAGCTTTATTACCCTGTAATTCACACTGTGACTTGCCCGTAATAAAACATACACTTCACTGGTTTTTAGCGCGTGCAGAGGTGCACATCCATCACCAGAGTCAGTCTTAGAACATTTCACCTACATTCTTATCAAGCCCTTGTCGTTCCCAGCCAGCCTGTTCCACAGGTCAGGCAAGCGCTGGTCCTCTTTCTGCCCCTGCGAGTTGGCCTGTTCTGTGCCTCGCATTCCAGTGCAATTGTAAGTAAGTGGCTTCTACCACTTAGCACGTTTTCGTATAAGGAATTGACAAGCATTGTTAAAAGGTGAACAGTGGACACTGATGTAACGCAGAGATACAGTCACCAGTTCTGGGGGACGGGGGCAGAGATGCAAGGCATAGCACCAGGCGTCTGGAATTGCTGAACTGCTGGCTCTCCGTGGGGGCTCCTGTGACCGCCCCCTCAGGTTTGATCATCGGCGAGAGTAGCTCACAGAACTCAGGGAGGCACTTTCCTTCGGGTTGCCACTTTAGTATGACAGACATCACGGAGGACACAGTGAACATCCAACCAAGAGGTGCATGTGGCTGGGACAGGGAGGGGCGTGGTGCTCCTGGGCTCCTCCGTGCCCCCTGGTTGTTCTCCGTCTAAGGACTCAAGGCGCAAGTCCTCTGGTGCAAGTCCTGCCTGGGTGCTGGGAGGCTGCATTTTGTGCCCTGAGTACTGGCTTTTGACATCTGTCTCCAGCCCCCGTGCCCTCTCTGGAGTTGGGGTGGGTTGAAGTCCCAGACCTCTAGTCACATGCCTGGGTCTCCAGGAGCCCGGCCGCTGTCATCTCATTGGTATACAGTAGACGCCACTGCAGAGCTGGGACATTTAAGAGCTGTTTCAGGAAACATGAGTGGAGACCAAAGACACATTCTCAGAAGTCACAGTGCCCCCGGCCTGTTTTGAACCTCCTGGAATATCGCCTGTGCCCCGCCATGCTGTTCAGCCTCCTCCTATTGACCCAGGGCTGGGCCCGACCTCCGGTGCCCACCTTGTGATCTGTTCCCACATGTGTCCCCTGTCCAGGGCTTTGTGTTCGGAGGCCGAATGTCATCACCTTACTGGAGAAAGGGGAGGAGCCCTGGGTCATGGACCCTCCAAGGAGACCCGGCGGCTCTGGTGAGTGAGAACCGAGGTGTACGTGTGTCTTACGCGTTCAGGCTGCTGCGTGATGCCATGCACATGGCTTGTAAGCGTGGGGATTTATCGCTCGTGGTTCTGGAAGCCAGAAGTCTGAGTTCGAGGCATTGTCAGTGTCTGGTTCAGAGGTGCCGTCTCGCTGTGCCCTCACGCGGCGGGTGAGGGAGCGCTCTGGGTCTCTTCTACAGCTCTGGCGCCGTCACAGGGCTGCAGCCGCAGGACCTGGGCCCCTCCCGTCGCTGTGGGCTCAGGTTCCAGCGTGGGCACTGTAGGTCTCCTGCGTTTGATAACTGAAGGCTATAAGAGGACTTATTGTACTTCGGGTTTTTTGTTCCAAATATCCAGACATCAAAAATAAATAAAAGCTTTGGTTCCCAGATACTTTAATACTGGACGGGTAGGTAGAAGGGTGCAGTACGTGCCAGAAATTTCGTCTAGTTCTCACAAAAACCCTGTGTGGTAGGTAAGTGGATGTGTTTTAAAGAGCGTGACGGTGGCCGTGGAGGCGGAGAGAATGTCTCGCGATTAGATAACAAATGCTTCGGTAAATCCCAAGTCCATTTAAAGCAGAGCTGTCAAGCAGAAACAGTGTGAGCTGAGTATTTAACTGAAGTTTTCTAGGAGCTACATTAAAATAGCCTTTTAAAAACAGGTAAGATTAATCTTAATAACGTTCTTCTTGTAACTCAGTGTGTCAGAAGTACCTCAGCGTGTAACCCACACTTCCACAAGGAGAGGCTTCACGTATCTCCCACGGCGCTCGGTTGTGCTTGTAGCACATCCCACGTCAGACGAGCCCCAGTGCAGTGCTCACTGGCTGCCTGGGACCAGAGGCTTCTGTGTTAGAAAGCACAGGACTAACGCCCACGCTCTGTTCCTAGTTTCTATCAGTCTGCCATGCAGAGAGCGTTATTGCAAGTCGTAAGGGACACTTGTGGGCTACTCCCGTTCATTTATTTTGATAAATAATCTATTTGTTCTTTTAAGTCTAATCAGTCACCTTTTCCCTGAGAATTTTTCCTGCTTCTCTGAGTTTCATATTTTCCTCCTTCTGAATAGCTACTCCATTCAACTACCACAAGGATGGCTTGTGCTTTTTTTTTTGTCTTTTTGAGACAGGGTCTTGCTGTGCAGTTCAGGTCAGCCTTGAGCTTACTTTGTAGCCCAGGCTGGTCTCAAACTTGCAATGTTCCTCCTGCCTCAGCGTTCTAAGTGCTGGGATTATAGGCGTGCACCACCATGCTCAGCTAGTTTGTGCATTTTTAAAGATTTTATTTCAACAATATTTTTTTTGGACTTACACTTTATAGAAATATAATTTATATCATAAGACGCACCCATTTTAAGAGTATAAGTCAATGATTTTGTTTTGTTTGTTTTACGTTTATCAAATTGTGTAGCCGTCACCATAATCTAGTTTCAGAACATTTTCATCACCCCGGTGAGATTCCTGTGCCCATTTACAGCTAATCCCATTCCTATCTCCTGACCCAGCCACCACGAATCTTTTTTCTCTGTTGATTTGCCTTTTATATGACATTTCCTATAATAAAAATACGTTTATCTAATGAACTACGTAAAAAGTTGAATATTGTATAAAATTTATCATATAAATGACGCTTAGAGTTGCTCACTTTCAGACCGACCATAAGCTCGCCTGAACTGCACTTATTAAATATTTATGTAAAGCCCTTAGTATGGTAATTAAGGTAGTAATAAGACACTAAAAGTTATTGATATGGTTATCTTTGTTATTATAAGCAGTAATAATGGCTGCATTTTTATTATATAAGCTTCAGTCTTCCCTCACCAGAAAGCAAACAGTTAATTTCTTCTTGTCTTTCAGGCACAACATCTAAGTGTGAGACCAGAAAGTCACCAAAGCAGTGTAGCAAATCCAAGCAAATCTTCAGTCCAGGACCAGTTACTATGCAAATAAAGATTCCCACAGGCAAGAGGGTAGAATTACTCCAAAGAAAAACCAAGAAACGGGTTGTAGTGAAGAAGAAATCTTTGAAATGCAAGGACTGTGGGAAAACCTTTAGTCAGAGATCATCTCTCAAACTTCATCAGAATGTTCACACCGGAGAGAGGCCTTATGAATGCAGTCGTTGTAGAAGAGTTTTCAGACAGGTTGCATCCCTTATTCTTCATCAGAGAATTCACAGTGAAATGAAAAGCCATGAATGTGATCAGTGTGGGAAAAGTTTCAGTAAAAACATAACCCTAATTCTACACAGGAGAATTCACAGTAGAAAGGAAAGTCCTGGTGGTGGGCTGGCCTCGAGTCTGGGCACGTCTGTCAGTGCCCAAACCAGCAGTCAGGTTGTCAAGAATGCCCTCCAGTGCAGAAAATGCGGCAAAGCATTTAGTCGAGTGGCAACCCTTTTACTTCATAAGAGAATTCACAGGAGAAAGAAGAAACATAAGTGCAATACACGCGGGAAAGGCTTCAAAAACAAATCAGTCCTTGTTACGCACAAAAGAATTCATACCAGAGAGAAAGCCCACAAAAGTAAACAGGCCTTAGGTCAGCATACACAGCGAAGAAGCTGCTATTTAGAGAATCCTTTTAAGTGCAAAAAGTGTGCTAAGTCCTTTAATAGGATTTCACCTCTTTTGCTTCATCAGAAAATCCATACTTCAAAGAAACCCTACAAATGTGATGATTGCAAGAAGGATTTTCCGCGGCTTTCAACCTTTATTCTCCATGTAAAAATGCATAAGAAAGAGAGGGCTTATCGATGTAATAAATGTAGGAAGGCCTTCAAGCGGAATTCAACTCTTATCCAACACCTGAAAGTTCATAAAAGGAAGAAGAAACTCATTGAGTGTAAAGAGTGTGGAAAGATGTTCTCTGGAAACGCAAACCTTAAAATACACCTGAACATACATTCGGAAGAGAAGCCTTTTAAATGCGATAAGTGTAGTAAGGTGTTTGGCCGCCAGTCATTTCTTACCGAACATCAGCGAATTCATACTGGAGAGAAACCCTATCAGTGTGAGGAATGTGGGAAAGCCTTCAGCCACCGGATATCACTTACTCGACATAAGAGAATTCACAGTGAAGACAGACCCTATGAATGTGAGGAGTGTGGGAAGGCCTTCAGCCAGAGCGCCCACCTTGCCCAGCATGAGCGAATTCACACTGGAGAAAAACCGTACGCCTGCACAGCGTGTGACAGGGCCTTCAGTCAGCGCACGTCCCTTATACTACATGAAAGGAGTCACACTGGAGAGAAGCCCTATGAATGTAACGAGTGTGGGAAGGCCTTTAGCAGTGGATCAGACCTTATTCGACATCAGAGAAGTCATTCTTTAGTGAAACCCTATGAATGTAGTAAATGTGGGAAGGCGTACAGTAGGAGCTCATCCCTGATTCGACATGAGAGCACACATTCTGAAGAAAAAGCCTAAGGTGGTTTTCTGCCATGTGCGTGCATACGTATTTTGAAATGAGGTCTTGGTATATTTCCCAGGCTAGCCTTGAATTTCCATGCTTAAACAGTTCTCCTGCTTCATTTGCCCGTATAGCTTTTTTGAAGGCTATAAAAGCTAAAAATGAAGCTGTCAAAGAAGCAGTGCAAAGCCTGGGAAAATTGTACAGATGTCCTCAATTTATGATGCAGTTACTGCCTATAAACTTCATAAATTGAAAATACCATAAATCAGAAGTGTGAAATGTGTTTGAGCCGGGCATGGTGGTGCACGCCGGTAATCCCGGTATTTGGGAGACTGAGGCAGGAGCATTCCTTTGAGTTCGAGGCCAGCCTGGGCTACATAGTAAGCTCAAGGTTAGCCTGAACTATATAGTGAGATCCCTATCTCAAAAAACAAAGTGTTTGATACGCCTATGCTACCAAACATCGTAGCATAGTGGCATAGTACAGTGTACAGTATTGTTTGGTCACTGTCTCATTGTGTGGCTGACTGGGAGCTTCCACTTCCTGCTGCTCCCCGACATCATGAGAGAGTATCATGCTGCTTATCGCTAGCTTAAAAGATCACAATTTGAAGTACGACTTGTACCGATTGCATATTGCTTTTACATTATTGTAAAGCCAACAGCTCCTAAGTCAAATCATTGTAAGGTGTGAACAGTCTGCATTTGTCCTTAACTTTTGCATACACAAAACCATTAGGTGATGTGTCTCAGTTTGAAAGCCAAAGAGCAAAAGTCCTTGGTGACTTTTGATGTGAAGACTTGAAATCTCCTAAGACAAGCTCAGGAAGTTGGATTAGTCTTTGTAAATGGAAACTATTTTTCACCTGATATTTGATATTTTGCTTCTAATGTAGTTTTGAAAAATACATCACTGGCCACATGTGGTAAAATAGAATCGTGAAGTCCATTTTTGTGGATGGAATTTTGCACCCGATTCAGAGTCATATGAAGGAAGAGTTTAAGTCTGTTCCTCAGAACTGGAATCATCGTTAAAGGTTTTCCTGGCAGAAGAAGGTGCCACTTTCACCTAACAGCAGCTTGGTGAGAATGAAGAAAGAGTCTTAGATGGCTGAAGATAACATTCATAATGGTGTAGAGCAGTTATCTCCATAATGTCTCCTTGGAGATGAGAATACAGCGTGAAGATCTAATATAGCCAGGATCTAATAACATGGTGAAGACCTACAGGCTGAAGAGGAAAAAACCAGGAAGTACAGAAGAATGAGGGAATTCAGAGCAGGGAAAATTTTGTATTTGAAGATAAATGGTCTATATTTATAAGAATAAATGCTCATTTTTATGTAATGTGTGTAATAAACTTTGAAATACGTGTTGTTATAAGCTGAATGTGTTACCTTAAAACTCCTATATTGAAGTGTGACTTGGAGCCCCTGTGTGATGGTGTTTGGAAACAGCCCCCCTCCCAGCGTGA